TTATAGCTCACATACAGCGGTACATACCGATATTCGGTATTTTGATAATCCTAAACACATTTATCCACGAAATTCTTTCAAATTTGGTATTTAAGTAGATTTGATAGATGACAATCTTTAAAGTATAAAATTGAGGTTTTCGTTTTGGTATGACCCCCACTTTACTTTTTTTTATTTGAAAAGTTTAACAGAATTTTCCAAACATTTGTAGTTTAAAGTGGAAAGCGTTTGAATTCAGATACTTTTATATAAAAATATTTTCTTTACTCAATGTTGGACGGTATTAAAAGTTCGGCCCAGCCCAACGAAATATGATTATATTCTGACTTTTTAATTTTATTCTTCAAAATCCGGATCCAAAAAAATAAATTATATCCGCGTTGTTGGGTCCGTCTCCCACAAAAAAAAAATTAGTTTGTAGTAACTCTTGAAAATATTACAAATCGGAAATCGGCTCGAGTTGTTCCCATCCAAAATGCGAGTCATTTTGTATAACTCTACATGGCCTGTTCCAAAAACAGGAGTCCCTTTATCAAAGTCTATCGACTTTTTGCTGTTGCTTGATCTTTCCTGTTGACATCACCCACCATTAAATGTCATACCTTCCCTTCCAATGACATATGTTTGACGTTTAAATATTACGCGGCAAAAAAGTCTAGAACACAACACATATGCACATACTTTTTGGTATATTATTTAAAAAATTATGTTTTAATTACTAAAAAATATAAGATATATAATCAATAATATACCTTATAAATATTAACAAAAGAAATATATCAAATCAAAGTGTTCAAAAGAAATCAAAACATAAAAAGCTATTTGACAAATCTGTCATTCGAAAACGAACGGGTTCAATAAAACTATTCCTTGAAAGAAACTAACGGAACTATTATAAGCTTTTCCATTTTACTAGTCCCATGGTAGAAGAATACAGGTAGATGCATCAAAGCTACTTTACCCTTTTGTACTATGTTTTTTTTTTTTGCCCGATAGCCCAAATAAATAGTTGTGTTCCAGAACCTACAAATTAGTACTAATTAGTACTAATTCTGCTACAATGCGTTCCCGTACTGCAAAAACTAGCAAAACTTGCCGCTCTCTCGAGAAAAAAAATGGCGCTGAGTGGTGCACATTTCTGCTTGTTTTAGCTACATGAATTTGGCCGAGCAGAAATGTGCATATTGTAAATTTGACATTTAATTGGCAGGGCTAACAAGGTTGAAAAATGTATTGATACATTTCAATAAAGAAAATGATCAACTTGAAAACTAAAAGAAAAACTAATATTTGTCGTGCAAAAAACAAAAAGAGAAAATATGGAGCAACTGATGTATTCACTTTTGGATGATTCCAGCAGTGAAGAGGGCTGGCTGAATGAGGAATCAGATTATTAATTATTATTATAAATTATTAATTTTAACTAATCGTCTTCAATACTCATTTTTTAAATGTTGGCGCTCTTTTCAGTAAGGTTTCACCAGTCCGACTTAGGCTGTTTACTTTTGGAATTTTGACATTTTATCGCATTTCTGCTAATTTTCCGTTCCCTTATTTTTTGAGCAAACCTAAATGAGAATGACATTTCGAACTGTTCTCTCTTCTGCTAGTTTTACCACTAAAAAAGTACTGGAACACAACTAATATTAGCAAAGTTTACTTGTGGCAAGTGTCTGTTCTCTCATCATTTGCTAAAGAATATTGCAACCCGTCTCTGACTCGGTATTGTCATTATACCCCCCACCTTGGAAATATTCGTCATAGACCCCATAATGTATATATATTCATAATCAGCATAAAATTCTAAATCGATTTAACAATGTCCGTCTGTCTGCTGAAATCACGGTACAGCCCACATTTTTTCACGTAGACCGCCGAAATTTAGCAGAACAATTTGTTTTGTGTTTAGGATTGTTGGTATTGAAATATATCGGTGTACGTTTTCGTTTAGTTGCCATAGAACGGTGTCTCTCGATATTCGGTATTTTCATGATTTTTGCCAAATTTTTCCACGGGTTTGTCTAAAAATTGGTATTTGTTACTCATAATGGGTTCTAGCTCCGTGACAGAGCGCACATATTCCGTATTCTGATAATCTTAGCCACTTTTACGCACACAAAAAAAAAATTGTCCATAGAGGTTCGCGTTTTGGTATGGCCCCATATAATGACTTCATTCACATTATGTTTTTTTAATAAGTTTAACCATGGCTCAATATAGGTGAGAGTACATAAGCAGCATGGCACCATGGCTTGGCATATTAATGTCAAATTATAAGGGGAAACGACGGCAGAATTCGAGTGCGGCTCTGGCACCCCTTTATGATATGTCACAAAATATACCATGCGAAAACTTCATGCTGCTTATGTACTCTCACCTAAAAAAACCAACCGTTGGTTTTGTTTATTTTTCATTTTTTAAATAAATTCTTATATTGCGAAAACTCGCGAAACAGGAATGGTATTTTGGGGCTATTCCACAAGATTAAATCTATAATAGTAGGACAATACAATTTTATTTCAATATTGTATTGCATTTATTATGCAACCGAATTTGAAATCATTTCAAATTATTTTATTTTTTATTCAAAATAATACACACGTACAAAAAATGCGTATATGTTTCGACAGAAAAAAATGTATTTAGGGGGAAGCTTTGTTCTACGTTCTGTTATTGTGCAAGGCAACTACATAATACAAATTTGACAATGAGGGACATCAATTAAAAAATTGTAATCGTATGATTGCATTAGATGACCTTGGTAATTGTACCATGATGACATAAACACATATGTATACGCACTGTTCCAGAACTTGTGAGAATGTTTAAATGCTACTTATGCTCTAGATGTGAAAGAATCTATTAGTTTGGCATTTTTTTTCGATATCATAAAAGGAAAAAGGGTTAAAGTAGGAACAACTTTTGCAGTTCTGGAACAGCCCATAAATTAAATATCGAAAGCAATTGTAAAACTAGTAAACTTGTGTATGTTCTACAACAGCAATAAGTGGTCAAAAATCCGAAAATTAAAGAATGTTTCTGTCAGCCGAAAAGTATGTTATATATTATGAACAGTAGTCTCATACGTTTTACTGGTTTTGAGATTTGCTGATGGATGATTCGTTACGATATGTTTTTATGTAAAATCCATAAAACATTCGTAATGACAAAGAAATAAATCTTTTAACTCTAACTATTCGTGACCGCATCGTGTGTAATGATTGCATTAAATACTCCTTAGATTGTCTGAATTTGGGTCGAATCGACTCAAATTTATTTCCAAAACCATTTACGACACCAGGGCATCCCAAAAATCGCTGTAAAGACCGTCGACTGATACCCATTTGCGTGGCACGTCGTCAGGTCAATGTCGACGGCGCTTCCATGACATCGTTGGCTACAGCAACAATATTCTCTGCAGAACGGATACTTCTGGATCTTCGAGGCGATCGGTTAAACATTGCAGTGTTTCACCGGTGGGCGTTGAACGGACAGGAAATCTGCACCACAACAGAAAGAAAATAGACTCAAAAGAGCTAAAAAGTTTCTTGGCTTGCTCGAAAGTGTGAACTGAGGAATTTGGTTTTCTCCCATGAGGAAACATTCGTTGTCCAGCAGTTTGTAAACAAACAAAATGATGGTGTTTACTTGCCAATGAGGTCAGCTGAAAATGTGCACCTTCGGTTGGCCACCAGAACTCAAGCGCCGGCCGCCATAACAGCCGATGGTCGCTCTCCGCTCGCATTAATCCACCGTGGCATCAGAATAAATGTCGAATATTATCGCGAAAATATTCTGGAGAGTGTATTAAAGCCTTGGGCACTCAAACATTTTGGCCGCAGACCTTGGACATTCCAACCACCATACCACCCAAGAATTGTTACAAAATGAGGTTTCTCTGTGTCTGGAATATTTTGAAAAGTAAGGTTGGCACTAAAAAATACCAAAGTGTCGATCACCTCAAGCAAGCGCTTTGCCGGGAATGGGCCAAAATACCGCAGAGCAACATTCAGGCAGCGTGTTACGGTTTCATTGGCCGTTTGAAGGCCATAATTCGTGCCTAAGGTGACCAATTGAAACTAATCTAAACTTATTCTTAAATTTGATACTATTTTCGACATTTTTTGCTTTCATTTAATAAAATTAAAAAAAATAATTATGGCGTTTGACTTTGTTGTAGTTTTTTATATCACCATGTATGTCTAAAAAGGAAAAAAATACTTGAAATCGGGGTATGCTTTGTATAGAGTATACCTAAACGTAAACCGACGTGACCCATATTTTGTACAAATGATTGATATTTCAGATAACCCATTTATATAAAATTTTGCGAAGAATAGTGAAAAATATTTGAGGCCCAATATGTATTGTTAATTTTTGGCCTGGGAACACAAAACCATAGTAGCATTTTGTTCTCCGAAAACTATTAGCTCCACTTAGAATTTCCACCCCAATTGGCTGTTGCAAGGTGGAATTGGTCAGAGTGAAATTCCAAGTCAATATGACCATTAAACTGTTGTTGATATAGATAAATTGTAGATAATTAATGGAAACCAATATCATTGGCTAGAGAGGAATATTCAACGATTTCGGTCTCTAAACGTAACACTCAAGGTAAATATGCTCAATACAAGAAATAACAGCAGATACTTCATATATAAATGTATCAATGGATTTAAGGTTTGGCTTCAAAAAATTAATTTAATTCATACCCTCAGCTTATCTCTCCAGGATTTTGTAATAGCTATTGAGCATTGAGGAACTTCCAAATCTATTAAATCCAAATGTGGTGGAAGAAAAGGCTATACCTAGTCAGAAATCACGCATCTATTATATCACTTGTTATGAAAAGTTAGTGCTACTTTGTATGATGTATTCGTTATTAAATTTGTTTTGGAAAATAAATAAATGTTCTTGTTGCACCATTGGAACACACGTACAGCGTTATATGTATCCACAACACACTATTGAGCCTTGCTTTAATACAAACACCAATCATATCGTTTTATTGTTACAACTTCCACAAGAGGGACCGATTTAATGGTTTTCTTAGACAAAACATCACTTTAAGCAACTAAAAATTATCAAAAGAAAGAAAAACCCCAATTGGAATCCACCGTAGTCACCACACTCGAAACATTGATAAACACCATCTAAATAGATTTTGAATCCAAATGATGTCGTTTTGATGTTGTTTTGTTTTAATTAGATATAACTAAATGTACAATGAACTTGTTGCTCCTCTGAGCTTATGCCTTCTTGGGAGTTGGTTTGCTCAATTCCTCCAGGGCACGCATCTCAGCGGCGGCACTGATTTTCTTCTCCTCGGCCAATTTGGCATCACGAACAGCCTTCTTTTGGGCTTCGATTTCACGAACCTTCTCCTCCTTCTTGGACAAACGGTTCTGGTGGAAGGCACCGTAGCCAACGCCGACAGTCAACAAAGACCATCTGAAGAATTTGATCAAGGGAGATACACGGACTGGAGCTTGAGACATTTTTGCAAGTTATGTAATGCGCGGCAACCGAGGTGTCAGTAGAGAAAATCTGTAAAAATAAAGAAAACGTTCTTGATTAGATTGGTTACGAACGCATTCAAATAACACATTTGTTTTGATAATTTAGCAAATTAACTTTTATTTTCATCGAAAATTTATGAATTTTGTTACAGAAAATTACCTGCTTGCTTAATTTTGCACAAGAAAACCAAGTTCACAAGAGATGTTAAAATTTTCTAACCTTAAATTATGTCAAAATGAAATTGTCAAAACAGACGGCTACACACCAAATGTCAATGAAAAGAGAAAAAAATAAGAGCAGGTTAGTCGTTCGTAACGTAACGTAACCCAACGTAGTTTCGGCTTACATTGGTTTATGTTCAAAAAACAAAAATTAGTTGAGTTGACATTAAAAAAATTTGCTAAAAAAACCTCCGTTTAACGTAGGATATGAAAACATGTACAAATCAACTATTTTTTGAAGAAGCTCTTAAACATTTTTGACATATCAGTGTTCCCAAGCGTTGATGCATATACATGTATTCTTCAACCGTTCATGGTACAATAAATATATATGTTTTCTTTTGCCACTCATGGTAGAATTATTAGATGGTAGAAGCCATATTTTGAATAAAAAAATACAATAATTTGAAATAATAATTTGTTGCAAAATAAATGCAAATTTTCGACGAAATGGGTAACAAATTGTACAATTTTGTGTTAAAAGTGTATTGTCCTAAAATTTAAGATTACATTTTGTGGAGTAACCCCGAAATTCCATTCTTGTTTCGCCCAATAAAAGAATTTTGTAAAAAAAAATTAAAAATAAACAAAACCAACTGTTGCATATTTGAAAGTCTATTTGATACTATAATACTCCAGCACCGAGTTATGCAACTCTGTTTCTTTTAGTTTATTTGAAGTTGAGCAACCTTTTATATTGAGGGCGACCATCGGCTGTTATGGCGGGCCACACCATACGGCGCTTGAATTCTGCTGGCCAACCGAAGGTGCACATTTTCAGCTGACCTCTTAGGCAAGTAAACACGACAATTTTGTTTGTTTTCAACTGTTGGACAACGAATGTTTTCTCATCGGAGAAAACCAAATTCCTCAGTTCACCACTTTCGGCCAAGCGAAGTAAGTCTTTAGCTCTTTTGAGTCTGTTTTCTTTCTGTTGCGGTGTAAGTTCTTGCACTTTTTGGAATTTCTATGGCTTTACTCCGAGCTCGTTTTTCAATATTTCGGAATAGAAAATAACGATATGTTCGGCTTAAAAGCCATATGTCGGCCACTGCGACGCGTGTTTTGATCAAGTCACTTCTTTATTTTTCTAAACATTTCTGCTGATATTGCTGTTTTCTTCTGTTCACTTCCGTGACTTCGGGCTAAGCTACCAGTATGCTGGAGTGCTCTAACGATAGCCACTTGTCATTTTCCAGCGAAATATAAAAAAATCACACTATCATATCTCTTTTTCATCTCACCCTGTATGTACCTAAGCAACTTGAATTCTTGGCATGGCATATTATGTGACATATCTTAGAGGGATGCCACAACCGCACTCAAATCCTGCCGTCGTTTTCCCTTATAATTTTACATTAATATACCTAGTCCCTGATGATGACTATCGAAAATAGTCGAAATATCGGAAAAATAAATTACAATATAAAAAAACAAATTCGTCTGTTTTTTTTTTTAACTTCGGACTTCAAGACAAACGAAAAACCAGAAAAAATATATTGATCAAACGTCAACAATAACTATACATTTGTAAAAATTGTTGAAAAACGCGAATTATAATCAACTCCGAATGACGTTGTAAAAGAAAACATATAAAAATCTACTTATATTCGAAAAAACACTTAAAATTTGTTGACATATCAATATTCCCAAGCGTTGATGCATCTACCTGTATTCTTCTACCATGAATCGTTGTAAAAAGGTTAACATTCTTGAAGTTCTACAATAGAGCATTAGTTTGGGCCATGGTAGAAGAATATAGGTAGACGCATCGACACAGCTGCTGTGACAATGAACTGTCAAACCAATTTTGGAATTGAAAATGTTGAATGAAAAATTATTTAAATTTGTAAAGATTGTTAAAAATCTCGAAGTATAATAACCTCCGAATGACGTCGTATAAGAAAATATTTAAAAATCTACTGATATTTCAAAAAACGTTTAAATTTTTTTGACATTTCAATGCTCCCAAGCGTTGATGCATCTACCTGTATTCTTCTGCCATGGTTTGGGCTGACTCGGTGACCTCAGAAAACTCTTGGAAAAAAATACAAGAGACAAGTTCTCGTTGAGGTCAGTCTGGCATCCCTGTTCTGACTTTTGTTTATATGTTGACAGTTCGTATAACCTCAAAACAAACAAAACAGCTGCATTTCGCCACGGAATTTTTGCAATTGGTTGCTGCTGGTCTGGTTTAGTTTTTATTTAATTATTTCCACAATGAGTAGGAACTATCAAGAAGATCAAAACAATGAAATTGAAGCTTTGGACTCCATATACTGCGGAGACATGCAGAGTAAGATCGATCTAGCCCATAAATATAAAGTCCCGATTAACATTGAATTCTTTTGCAGTTTTGGAAAAGGAGCCATTCCACAAGTTTCAAATACCCATAGCCACCGAAGAATTTAACAAGGAGACACAAGAGAATGGCTTGAGTTGTTATTTGGTCTTCACCTACACTCCAACATACCCCGATGAAGCTCCTGTTGTTGAAGTCGATGAACCTGTCAATTTTCAGGAAGACTACGAACAACGTATGTTGGAACATCTGAAATCTACAATCGAGGAAAACATCGGCATGGAAATGATTTTCACTTTGGTTAGTACCGCTCAGGAATGGTTAAATGAACGCTGGGATGATTTTAAGAAGGCCGAAGAGGATGAACGCGAACGCCGTCTACTCGAAGCTGAGGAAGCAGAACGTAAACGTTTCGAGGGAACACGTGTGACCGTGGAAACATTTATGAAGTGGAAAATGGAATTCGAGGAGAGCATGGGTATTGCTGCCAAACGGGAGAAATCGAACGATAACAAGAAACTTACTGGCCGGGAGCTGTTTATGCGCGATAACACCCTTAACGATTCCGATATTAAATTTCTCATGGAAGCCGGTGATAGCATCGAAAATGTCAAGATCGACGAAAGTTTGTTCCAAGCCATCGATGACATTGACTTGGATGATGACGACGATGATGATGAAGATTGGGTGCCCGGCGATGAAAGCGACTAAAATAAAACGCAGTAGCTGTGAGTGTTATTTAGGATTTATGTTATATTTTTTATACATATAAAATTAATGAAAATGGGTTTGCTTAATAGAAATGCATAAAAATTTGAAAAGTACACTAAATCTTAAAAGATTACAGAAGAATGAGAAAAAATACACAGGAATTGTACAACATTTATATTCAAGGATGTGTTTGTGTTTGTTTCTGGGCGATAATGTGGTGGTTGGTTACTGGAGAGTTGAATCAGTCCAGATCAGGTTTTTTTGAGGCCAATTCTGTTAACGTCACACCATGTGAAACAGATTCAATGTCATCTAAATTAAACTCATCATCCGAGTCTGTTGCTGCAGATGTCTTCTGCGGCAGTGGTTGGCCTGGTTTTACTGGAGGTGGCAGTTTTTCACGGGGGAAATCCAATTTTGCCCACGAACCGGGCTCCGCTTTAGGCATGGTTATTTCAAGTTTGGTACCATACATATGAGCAGTGGTTTTCTCCACATTTATTATCTGAAAAATACACCAATTTTGTTACTTTTTACAGAATTTTATGTTTCGTTTTTAGTGAGACTTACTCCTCTCAATTCCAAATCCAACTCAAATTTAGCGTTTTCTTGGTCTGGAAATACTAGGATGGCATGCAAACGTATAGGATTCACTTCTACCGTGCTCTTGGCATAATGATATTTCTTTGCATATATGGATACAATGACATTCGTTGCTGTTTGATGCCAATCGTAACGACACTGTACAACTCGCTTATCATCGTTGTCCTTCACCCATTTGTGCTGGCCGTTAACACAACCTTGTTGTGCCATAAATACAGCAAAATCCGAAGTTTTTCTTTGGCAACAAGACCAATATTTCATGCCTTCGTGAAAGATTGGTACACCAGAATGATACTGGCATGTTCCATTATCGGTAGATGTACCCGTGTATGAATATGTACATCCTGAATTTTTGCAACTGGTTCCAACGGCAACTTCGCTGAAAGGAAATGTGACAAATTCATATTTGGAAAACTTAAGGTTGTACTTGTACTTACTCTGTACCGTTGACTTCCGATTGAGCAGGATCCTTGGTGACAAGGTTATCAATAAGTTCTTTTAAGGCTGGAGCTACAGTGGCAGTTATGGCGGTCATTGCTGTTTCCACTGGCGGCCTTGGCAAGGCTTCCTTGATTGGTGCCCTTACCTCGACTACTTCTTCTTTAAGATCCTTATCTTCTTTACTTGGTTTCTCAGGCTCCGGTGGCTTAATATTTGAATGTTTGGACAATGTACAACCCTTAATGCTTAAAAATTCGGTAAAATCGACCGATTTTTTGTTACAGCATGACCAACCCTTATAAGCGTCATGGAAGAATGGGGCTCCTGGATGATGGCGACATGATTCTGTAAAAATAGGAGACAACAATGAGTCATGGAAAGTTCTAGATAAGTGAAAAAATATCCATCAAAAATTAAGGTGTCGTTTTCAAAATAGAAGTGTTCGTAGCAACAAAATTATTCTTATCCAATTATTATTTTTCGGATTATTTGGAGTCATGTTTTGATTTCTATTTACCATCATTGTTTTTCTCCGGGTCGAACTCTTGTCCACAGCCTCGATTGTAGCAGCGCTGCATTTTTCTTGCTTTTTTGTTGTCTTTCAACTGTTCCGATGAATAAGAGTAACTTCAAAATTAACTTTGTTGTTTATTTGTTCAATTTGTGTTTATAAATTAAAGGTGTTTACCAGAAATTCCGTATATTTCTAGAACCTGTAGTAAAATGAGCACAATGTTTAACAGCTGTTGGGATGAGAATGAAAATCTGCTTTTCCATCTAACTCATACAGAGTTGTATCGTGACGTTGAACACAATGAAAGACGCTCGCTGTCGACGCAGTTAATGCATGCCGCTGGTGTGCAAAACGTAAAGTAAATATTTTAAGTGATAAAATGCCGGTTTTTGGATATTTCACCTGCGTTGACAAAAGTCAAGATCCTGGCGCAATAACAAGGTGTTCTTGTAAATATTAAAAATCGGATTTAATGCCAATATTCGTTGGTTATTTGCATATCAAAATTAAGAAGGTAAAGTCATGCAATCATATATTTACATTTTTATACCCTACAACACTATGTGTTGCGGGTATTATAAGTTTGATTGGGCCAAAAATTATGTAACACCTCGAAATATTGGTTTCCCACATAGGAAAGTATATATGGATCTTCCTAGCTCGCCGAGCTGAGTCGATCTAGCTATGTATGTCCGTCCGTCCGTCTGTCCATGTTAATTTGTAATCACTCTACAGGTCGCAATTATGGCCCAATCTTCACGAAATTTAGAATGTAGGTGGGGCTTGGACCAGAATAGAACCCTATTGCTTTTAGAGATGATCGCCAAATGTTTAGGGGTTAAAATGGACCAAATACTGAAAAAATGTCGGATTTTGCAGTAGCTATACTGGTCGCAATTATAGACCAATCGACGCGAAATTTCGCATGTAGATAGAGTTTAGGGCGGGGAAGAAGCATACTAATTTGGGTGGTCATCGGATAATATTTATTTTTCATTAAACCGTGAATATTTTAAATCCCGGCGAAATCACAAAGCCATCACAAGGTTACTTCTGACCTTTACATTGATGTTATTATCCAACAAATCGGATATATAGCAAAATATGTGCGATATATATGTCTATCAAAGAAGATATGCTTGAAAGATCTCTTATATGTCGAGAACGGCTGAACTGATTTCGACAGTTCTCATTAATTCAGAATGGCCTCTTGGCAGGAAAGAAAAAACGTCTAGAAAAATCGCATAAAAATATCTCTCTAAAGATGAAAATATTGATTTTGTAAAATTTTCTCATATTTTTTCAATTTTGTCATATTTTTGGCATATTTTCATTTTGAATTAAACATTTGGTAATATTTCTACATGTAACAAAACTAAGTAGGTAGGATATCAGGATATCATATACAGATCTCATTTATGGCCCGATCCTTACGAAATTTTGCATGGGGATAAGATGAGGGTCAGAATAGAAGCCTACTCTTTTTGGAGATGATCGCCATCGCCAGGCGTTGAAATGGACCAAAAAACTGCAAAATTGTCGGCAGGTCGTAATTATCGCCCGATCCTCATGCACATTTGAATGGGGGTTACGGACATTGTAAAAGCCAAGCAGTTTCGGATGGCCATCCAAAAATATTCAATGTGTGAAATAGTTTGCCAACTTTTGTAGACAAAATACGAAAATGTCCATTCCGGTGACTTTTTGGAGAATTCACATATACAGGAAAGACGCACTTCCGACTATTTCGTTAACGCTGATTTCGTTGAAGAATATAGTCAAATGTATGTATCTCATATAGATGCGTTTCAGTCAAAAACCAATAATAAATGTTAATCTTTTGCCACTTCTGAGAGGTTATAGGTCTTTGGGAAATATTAGTTCCAGATCTTGGAAGACCAACATCTACCAATGAATTGGAAATGAGCAAATTAGTTAAAGTTGCTATTATTTGAAAATTAGAGAACGAAACCTGATGGTTTTCTTTTATTATTTGTCACAATATCTTGTGGAATTCTTTCGAGTATCTCGCCTATATAAACTGTATGGTTTATTATAGTGTTGTAGGGTATTCAACTGTCGGCCCCGCTCGACTGTAGCCTTTGCTTACTTGTTATACCCTACAACACTATGTGTTGGGGGTATTATAAGTTTGATTGGGCCAAAAATTATGTAACACCTCGAAATATTGGTTTCCCATATAGGAAAGTATATATGGATCTTCCTAGCTCGCCGAGCTGAGTCGATCTAGCTATGTATGTCCGTCCGTCCGTCTGTCCGTCTGTCCGTCTGTCCGTCTGTCCATGTTAATTTGTAATCACTCTACAGGTCGCAATTATGGCCCGATCCTTAAGAAATTTTGCACGAAGGTGGGGTTAGGGTCAGAATAGAACCCTATTTCTTTTGGAGATGATCGCCAAATGTTTAGGGGTTGAAATGGACCAAATACTGAAAAAATGTCGGATTTTGCAGTAGCTATACAGGTCGCAATTATCGACCAATCGACGCGGAATTTCGTATGTAGCTAGAGTTTAGGGCGGGGAAGAAGCCTACCAATTTGGGTGGTCATCGGATAATATTTAGCGGGTAAAATAGACCATGTCTTTTGTGTTGAAAAAATTCAAAATTTTTCATTAAACCGTGAATTTTTTAAATCCCGGCGAAATCACAAAGTCATGACAAGGTTACTTCTGACCTTTACATTGATGTTAACATCCAACAAATCGGATATGTAGCAAAATATGTGCGATATATATGTCTATCAAAGAAGGTATGCTTGAAAGATCTCTTACATGTCGAGAACGGCTGAACTGATTTCGACAGTTCTCATTAATTCAGAATGGCCTCTTGGCAGGAAAGAAAAAACGTCTAAAAAATCGCATAAAAATATCTCTTTAAAGATGAAAATATTGATTTTGTAAAATTTTCTTATATTTTTTTCAATTTTGTCATATTTTTGGCATATTTTCATTTTGAATTAAACATTTGGTAATATTTCTACAGCTAACAAAACTAAGTAGTTAGGATATCAGGATATCATATACAGATCGCATTTATGGCCCGATCCTTACGAAATTTTGCATGGAGATAAGATGAGGGTCAGAATAGAAGCCTACTCATTTTGGAGATGATCGCCATATACTTAGGGTTTTCAATGGACCAAAAAACTGCAAAATTGTCAGCAGGTCGTAATTATCGCCCGATCCTTATGCACATTTGAATAGGCGTTACCGGACATTGCAAAAGCCAGGCAGTTTTGGATGGATGGCCATCCATTCATGTGTGAAATAGTTTGCCAACTTTTGTAGACAAAATACGAAAATGTCCATTCCAGTGACTTTTTGGAGAATTCACAAATACAGGAAAGACGCACTTCTGACTATTTCGTTAACGCTGATTTCGTTGAAGAATATAGTCAAATGTCTGTATCTCATATAGATGCGTTTCAGTCAAAAACCAATAATAAATGTTAATCTTTTGCCACTTCTGAGAGATTATAGGTAGTTGGGAAATATTGGTTCCAGATCTAGGAAGACCATTTACGTGCAAAATCTACCAATAAATTGGAAATGAGCAAATTAGTTTAAGTTGCTATTATTTGAACATTAGAGAACGAAACCTGATGGTTTTCTTTTATTATTTGTCACAATATCTTGTGGAATTCTTTCGAGTATCTCGTCTATATAAACTGTATCGTTTATTATAGTGTTGTAGGGTATTCAACGGTCGGCCCCGCTCGACTGTAGCCTTTGCTTACTTGTTTTATATTCCATTTATTGTCAAATTGTAAATTTATAAATCAGGGCTAGGCAGAGAGCCTCGAAATTTTTTTGTGATTGTATGTGTTTTGAAATAACAACCCAACCCAACATACCAAAAATACAATACAGCTTGAGAATAATATTATGAAAATAGCTTATCATAAGAATTTTTCAACAATGCTTGAGAAACACTTTTTTGCACAAACTTTTCTCAAATCTGTCCTTTGTTGACAAATTTGTTTTGATTTTTTTTGTGAAAATTGTCAACAAAAAATTATTTTCTTTGGTTAAAATCAAAATCACGCGAATTTAGGACCCATTTCCGGACGAAACTCTAAGGTAATGATGAATAATAAATCTGGGAATCTGTAGTATAAATTATTTCAATCTCATTTCAGAATGGAGGCGTCAAAAAGTTGCAGGAATTCAACAGAAGTGAAGAATAAGTGGAGGAGATACAGAAGCTCAAATAAGGGGAAAGAAAGCATCTAGGTATCAAGGCAACAGGATGCAGTGACAGCTGGGATGGCAATCAATGAATGAAATGTGTAAAATAATTAAAAAATGAATAAATAAATATTTTTTACCATTGAAAAAATAAGCTTTATAAAATATTACTTTCGTAAGCTTATTCTGCAATTACAAGAATAAGCTTATGAATAAGGGTTCCTTTTCGATTATTCTATAATTGTTAAACAAACATTTCTCAATACATTCTCAAGATTTTCTCAAGCTTTAGGCTTATGTTTGTAAGCTTATTAAAATATTATTCTCAAGTCAATTTGGTATGTTGGGAAAATTTTGCAAGTGTTTTTTCCCTCGGCTTACACAGAGAGACATAATTTATTATCTGTAAGTTTTCTGTTATAAATTTTGTCTTTTCAAAACAACCCCAAACTTTACAATTTATTGTTTAAGTTGGCTTTGTTTTTAACGTTAATTTGTAATCGCAATTCGTTGGTAGAAATTCGGAGCTATATTTAAACAATTATTTAAATTATGATTCATTTAAAAAAATATGATATAAATGTCCTCCAAAAATATTTTCTGAAATTTTAAATAGTTGTGATTAAATTTGTGTTTAATAATTTCGGACATAACTTGCTAACCATCCAAGTTGACCCTTTAAAAAGTAAGCATACGCAAATAGTCGTAGAATTGTCCTCTTTTATCCTGTGTTGGGTCCTAAAAGATTATTTCTATGAATTACAAACAGAATGATAAACATTACATCTTTCTATTTTGCCTAAAATTGACTAAGACTGTACATGTCATTTCATAGAAATCGAGGGATATGAAAATGTCTACTAATTTAGAAGGACAAATAATTTGTCGGTCAATATGAAATGAATTCCTACTCCTAACATGTGAATCCTTATACAAATTCTGTCAAATAGAAATCAATCAAAAGGATAAATCTTTACAGTTGTAATTTTTACAATTTCGGAAATATTAGTTAGATATATTTATGTAGTTAGATATATTTATGTGCTCCAATATTTCTTATGGTAAAAATATCCGACAGCATTTTCCTCATCGACTGCTCGA